GCTATTGGGGAAAAGCAACAAAAATACCCTGTGGGCCAAACCAAAGATGTTCGTAGGCTGCCGGTTTGAGGCCTCTTCATTAGTGTGACTGAACATCAGACTCTGCTGGCATTGGTTCTTAGAAGAATCTGTGGCCACTTTAGTATTTAATTTTAATTTGCATGTAACTTTGATAGTTTTATGTTTGTGATGTTGCCTGTTGTCTTCTGAAAAGTGTCTGAGGTATCGTTATTCTTCAGACTTTTTTTTTTTTCATGTGGGAGTCGAACCGGCAACCTTGCTGTTAAGAGCGCACGCTGTATCCACGGAGCCATCCGGGTGGCAGCTGAGCTCAAGGTGTCCCAGCTGTTGATGGATGTAGCACACATCAAACAGGCAGTCTTGTCATTAGGAGCACGTGCTGTCACCAGCTGAACCATCCTGCCACCTGTTGGCAGCTCAGCTTGGGCGCAGCTCAGGCAAAGCTCACTGGCCCATGTGGGAATAGAACCAGCAACGCTGTTGCTCAGAGCTCGTGCTCTTAACCAACTGAGCCACTCGGCCGGCCCTTCAGATTATTTTTTTAGAGCAGCTTTGGGTTCACAGTAAAATTGAGAGGAAGCTACAGAGATGTCCCATATGCTCCCCGCCCCCACACATACACAGCCTCCCCCACTATCAGCATCCCCCCCTCAGAGGGGTACGTTTGTCACTGAACCTACACTGTCACATCCTAATCCCCCAGAGCCCGTAGTTGACGTCAGGGGACATCTTGGTGGTGTACATTCTATGGATTGGGACAAATGTGGAATGACATGTATCCGTCATTATGACTTTATTGTTAATATTGTGTTAGAAAGCGAATAAATTAGCAACTATAACACCATCCTTTTATATCTCTAGAAAGAAATCATGGCGCTTGGAGTAAGACGGAAACCCAGAAGCTAATCAAGGCTGTCGAAGAAGTGATTCTTAAGAAGATGTCCCCCGAGGATTTAAAAGAGGTAGATTCTGAACTCCAAGAGAACCCCGAAGGCCGCCTGTCCATTGTTCGGGAAAAGCTCTACAAGGGCATATCTTGGGTGGAAGTCGAAGCTAAAGTCGAAACCAGAAATTGGATGCAGTGTAAAAGTAAGTGGTAAGTTTTAAGGCTTCTTATATAAATTTCAACAAGGCCCTCCCTCGATCGTCCTTGCTGTCTCCCTCCCCCTGCACAATTCCTATGGAGTGGCTAGATGCGTGAGGTCACTGAGAGGATCTGTGTGACGCCATGTGGGAAGGGTCCATGTCAAGAACGATCATCTCTAGCTCATTGTCCCAACCAACTCCACATCAGTACTTGATTTAAGTTCCACTTAACTGTTGGGAGCCGGCCGCCTCNGCAGGGCTTTGTGGGCACATGAAGAAGTTTCTGTTTTATTGTACATGAAATGTGGAGCCTTTGGGGGTTTGGATGGGGCATGACCCGATCCGATTGCTGGCTCTGCGCTGTGTCCTGAGCCGGGCCTCGGGCCTGGGACCGTGTGGTTGATTTATTGGGTAAGCACAGTTGAGATGCTGGGACAGGAAGTAACAGAGGCTCTGGTCTTGGGTCAGTTTGGCACTAAACCGTTTCCTGGCGTCCCACCCCGTGCAGCCTTCCCGGAACCATAGCAGACTGCGATGAGAACAGTTTGTAATCTTGGAGTTAATGCAAAATTGTAGTGTTTCCCCTTTCTCTTAGGTATAGCAAAGGAGATACCGAGAAGTTAAAGATATACCATTCCCTCCATGGGAACGATTGGAAAAAGATTGGGGAGATGGTGGCTCGAAGTAGCCTCTCCGTTGCCCTGAAGTTCTCCCAGATCAGCAGTGGTAAGTTGGGGTCTCTAGAGCCCCCCTGGGTGAGCCCCTGTGGGAGGGAATAAGCCCTGCAGGCCATCAGCCCCCACAACCCAGTGCCCAGGAGTCACCGTGGGCCTGTCTTCTGAGAGAGCCAGTTTCCTAAGCCACTCTCTACACTGATTTGTTTCATTTCCTCACGTGGATTGATGAAACCGTGCAGCTTTTATTCACAAGACTGCTTGTCACCACACCTCAGCCCAGTAGCTCTCAGAGCGGCTGTAACCGCCAAGTGGACCAGTACCCAAGGAGGCCAGTGGAGGGCGTCCCTTCCCCGGGGCGGGAGGGCGGGGTGCAGGCCAGCAGGCCTGTAAGGCGGGGACCGTCCCCCAAAACCAGTCTTGGTGAGCTCCTGCCTCTCTCTCCTCTTTCATAAACAGTGTTCTTGCTTTTATTCATCACATTAAAAAATCCCCCGTTGCTATAAGAAGACAGTCTTTAGTCAGTGTACTGTTAGCACGTGGGGGGCTCCCACACCCCCACCGCATGGGCAGAGCTGAGCCGCAGCCGGACGTCTGTGTGGCCAATGTGGGCAGCTCCCGGGGTGAGTGGGACACCGTGCCTTTTGTGCCACCAACTGCAGCCACTGGTGCCAGGCAGAAACTCAGTGTGGACAGTTCTTCCAGTTTCTAAGAAGCAAAGCAAAAATCTGGATTTGTGTGTGTGTGTGTGTGTGTGTGTGTGTGTGTGTGTGTGTGTGTGTGTGATCTAGATTTTTTTTTTCCCTTGGAGCTCTCCTGACTTTTACATGTTTATCCAAACTGCTATTGGGGAAAAGCAACAAAAATACCCTGTGGGCCAAACCAAAGATGTTCGTAGGCTGCCGGTTTGAGGCCTCTTCATTAGTGTGACTGAACATCAGACTCTGCTGGCATTGGTTCTTAGAAGAATCTGTGGCCACTTTAGTATTTAATTTTAATTTGCATGTAACTTTGATAGTTTTATGTTTGTGATGTTGCCTGTTGTCTTCTGAAAAGTGTCTGAGATATCGTTATTCTTCAGACTTTTTTTTTTTTCATGTGGGAGTCGAACCGGCAACCTTGCTGTTAAGAGCGCACGCTGTATCCACGGAGCCATCCGGGTGGCAGCTGAGCTCAAGGTGTCCCAGCTGT